TTTTTTTAGGTGAGTTTTTCTTAAGAAACTAAAAACCAAAAAACTCTTAAACACTCGTGCTAATATATTAAGATAGTTCTTTTAAAAAACTTAAAGATAATAGTCGTTTTGACTTTTGAATGTTTTATAATTATGTCTAAGTTCTAACCTATAAAAGATGAACTAAAATATATTCTATTCTTTCTTAATCACAAAAGCAATCTTTTCTTTATTTATTTTCTGAATAAAAGGGTGTTAATCTTTTGGGCTACCAGCTACCCACATTTCCCTTTCGTTGACTTGACCCCATTCACACACCTTCCTCTCAATTTCGTCTTTACTGTAAATCCTTTTCAGACTATTAAAAGATCATTCCGATTTAAATGATATTTTGTTACAAATCTCCGAAAATATATATTTGATTAGACGTAATACTTGACATGTTTTATGTTTATGAATACAAAGATAAAAATGTCTTCATAAACGATCAGAAAATGATAAATGTTTTTGTTAAATTATTAAATTTTATATTTATAACTATAATAAAACGTAAAGTATACTAACATGTGTTAGTAATATAATCGATGTAGGATTACGTTTCCATTAAACGCAGTATAATCGTAACTAAAAATTTAATAACACATTAATTTATATTATAAAATACAATTAATAACAGAATTCAATCTTTTACACACTGTAGTTATCTTGACTTTTCAGCTAGTTTTATCTATAGATTTGTTTTCCAGCTAACCCTTTCCATACTCTCTCTCATCTTGTCCTCCTTGTCCTTCTCTCCTTTTCGAGCTTTCTTTAATTATTTCTTACTCAAAAAGTCGAGGACACCTGTGTGGAGATGATTTTATACAATCATATCCAGTTTTAAGCTGATTCAGGTATGACGTTTTGTATAGTTTCTACGCTTTTCTCCACCTAATCACATAAATTGTCGTTGATTCAACATGGGTTCTTCAGTTTGACTGTAAATTTTTAATCTTGAAATGGTTTCTCATCTCAATTTCTTGATTATATGGTGTTATTTTGCATAATCCAGATAGGGTTCCATGGTTTGATCCCAAAAAGAACAAGATTCGGATTCACTTCTGGGAAGCTGACTGATTCCATATCTGATTAAAGGTGGGTTCTTTTCTTAAATCTCTTTGATTTTTCACTTCTTTACAAATAATTATTATGAATATTCGATTCTCTGTTCGATTTTTGTATAAAATTTGAGTTTTTGTTAAATGGGTATGCTAAATTATGCATCATCTATCCTTCAACAGTAAGATTATCAACTTTTAAGCTATTTTCACATAAAAACCTTCCAAAAAAACAATGATTTTAAAGAAAAAATCTAATCCATTTCATAAAAAAGTATGTCATTCGAACTATTCTCTGAAGAATGCTGACAAAAATCCATTTTTTTTTACAGTGGGGACGATAAGTTTTGGGAGGCCATGAAGTGTTTTCCATTCTCGTACTGCAACGAAAAAGACGAAGCCGCAAAAACTCCAACGAAATCGATATCAGTTCAATCTTTTACTTCCATATTTACAGATCCTGATGTGAGAAGATCATGGACGACAGGATTAAACTCCCAAAATGTTTCCGACGTAAGCACAGAATCGATTGGAACAAGGTCTAATGTTCCTAGTTTTTCACAGAGACCAAGTAATCTTCGAGTCTTCACTTTCCCCGAACTCAAATCAGCCACCAATGGCTTCAGCCGATCAGCAAAGATCGGCGAAGGTGGTTTCGGGTGTGTCTACATCGGCGCCATTAAATCCGATCAAGACCCGACGAAAAAGCTTCGTGTCGCCGTTAAACAGCTCAGCCGACGAGGGTTACAGGTAAGATTTCAAGAACTTTAGATCGAGTTTCTTGATTGGATTCTGGTTTCTGATTCTGGTTTCGAATTTGGGAATTTTGATCTGATAGGGACATAAGGAGTGGGTGACGGAGGTGAATGTTCTTGGGATTGTCGAACACCCGAATTTGGTGAAATTAATCGGGTATTGTGCAGAAGATGATGAAAGAGGTATTCAAAGGCTTCTTGTTTACGAATATATGCCGAATGGAAGTGTCGAGGATCATTTATGTGCTAAGAATGAAGAAACACTTTCATGGAGTATGAGACTTAAAGTAGCTCAAGATGCTGCTCGTGGGTTGACTTATTTACACGAGGAAATGGGCTTTCAGGTATTTTTACCATTTCTATCTTCTTTCATATGAATGGTAGTTTCTTTTTTATCTAAAGTGTATAAGCCGTTAATCTAAGACTGAATAAACTGTTTTGATTGAGACTAAAAAACAAATGTCAGAATATTTATCAATTTTAACCTAAAGAGTTAAAAGGGAAAAAGTACAAATAGGTAAAATGGTAAATGGTTGGTTTGTTAATATAGATAGTAAGCCGAGTTTTTTCTTTAACCCATTAAATCGTTCAGTCTCAATTAAGTAAAAATGAAACAACTTGTATAGTTGTCTAGATTAAGGGTTTCATCAATTAAGCTCATTGAGTAAAAAAGAAACATCCCCTAAATGTATCAAAACACTAACCTTTTACCTTTTGCCTTTCTTCTTTCTTCATCTCAACTCTTCTCATGTTACAACCGATGAATATTGTTGAAATTGACGAATATTGTGAAATTTGTTTATTCGGTCTTGAAAAGAAACAACTAATATGTATACATGATTTAAGGCTATTTTTGACGCGAATAGGCTATCTTATTTTGTAATCATATTGCAATTTAGTGTTTGTTAAAACCTCAAAAACAGCTTAATGTAGCTTATATATTAGCTTATAAGCTAGCTTATAAACTAAAAGTTTCTAGTTTTTCGGCTAACGCGCCAAACATAACCATAAAGGGAAAAAAGAATCATATGTAGAGTTAGGTCTTGTTGTAGCTGATGTGACATTGATGTGCTACAATTAACAATATCATTCTACGCCAAACATAACCTTAAAGGAAAAAAGAAACATATGTAGAGTTAGGTCTGATGTGACATGATGTGAGACAATTAACAATATTAGTCTACGCCAAACATAACCTTAGAAGGAAAAAAAAACATATGTAGAGTTAGGTCTCAGTGTCTAACGGATGTGTGACACCGATGTGAGACAATTAACAATATCATTCTACGCCAAACATAACCTCAAAGGGAAAAAAAGAAACATATATAGAGTTAGGTCTCATGTCTAGCTGATGTGAGACAATTAACAATATCATACTACATTTGTACTTAACAAATAACTTTGTTTTGTCCTATGTTTATGTAGATCATCTTCCGAGATTTCAAATCATCCAACATTCTTCTAGATGAAAAATGGAACGCGAAGCTTTCAGATTTTGGATTAGCTCGGTTAGGTCCCGAAGAAGGACTAACTCATGTCTCCACCGCGGTTGTAGGAACCATGGGATACGCGGCTCCTGAATACATCCAAACCGGTCGACTCAGATCCCAAAGTGACGTGTGGAGCTACGGTGTGTTTCTCTACGAGCTTATCACGGGTAGGCGACCACTGGATCGAAATCGTCCAAAAGGCGAACAAAAGCTTCTAGAATGGGTGAAACCGTATCTTGACTCTAGAAAGTTCCGGATGATTGTTGATTCTAGATTGGAAGGAAAATACTCGATGAAAACAGCACAAAAATTATCGATTATAGCTAATAAGTGTTTGTCAAAGAACCCAAAAGGAAGGCCAAAAATGAGTGAGGTGTTGGAGATGGTTAATGAGCTTGTTGGGGGTGGTGGTGCACCGGAAGGAGCCAGTCCTAGACCGCCACCTGGAAATGGTCCGGTCGTAGAGCCGGTGGTTGTTCATAAGGTTGAACCCATTGAACCGGAAAAGGTTTTTGTGGGGTCCGCTGAGGGTAAAAAGACATTGAAGGACATGCCTAGTAAAAGGAAGAGAAGGTTTATGGACATCATTTTTGGAAACTCTGTTTGGCTTTCGAGAATTTGGCCTTCGAAGAATGTGAAAACTTGATGATTTTTGAAGTTGGAGGTAAATATAGAAGAGGGATTAAAGGATGGATGTTAGTAAAAGACATTTTTACCCTTGCATGGTTTGTATAGATGTGTAGTCGGCTTGTTGGAGGAAATTTGTGGACGCAGTGGGAGTTTTAGGGGCTATATGGTAATTTTGCTGCTATAGAAGGGAGGCAAGATGGTAAAGATAATAGAAGTTTTCTTATATGATATGTTTTGTGTAATTTTTTGTATAACGTAAGGAAGATGTTGTATACATTGATTTTTGTTGTATTGTGCAACGGGAAGATCTTGGTGTTAAGGGGCTGTTATTCATATTTCGGGTTATTGAGTTGGATTAATGTTATTTATTTATTTATTTTTATCTAGAACAGATAACACATACACACTCTAAAATGATATTCACAAACTACGGTTTTATCATTTATGAAACCTCAACCTTTTAGAAAAGAATGTATACTTTCTTGATGATTGATGATTAGTAGTATTTATATTTCTCAGTTATTATGTAAATTCATGTATGTGTAGCAGCATATATTTATGTTAGGACATTTATTTTGCTATTAAACATTAAAGGCATATATTTATTTTGCCTTTTTAGCTTATGGGTTGTTTGGCCTTTTTTTTCTTAGATGCTTTTACATAATTGTAGTCTTCTTTTTCTTTGATTGTAAGTGTCGTTTTTCATTGATAATAAAACAGTAGCCTTTTATAACCGTAAATCTTCATGGTATAGAACCAAAGTGTTCATAGCCGTTAATTGTTTGAAGTTGGACAAAATTGTAAAAATGATCTTTGTAGTATGCATTTTTTGGGGGTTTTGGATTAAACCCCGTTTTTTTTTTTTTGGATTTATGGTCTTTTTGACTAATGTTTGTATGTAGATTTGGTCTCTAGTAAAATTGAAATAACTAGATTGTCCTTATTAGATTTATTTTCCATTTTCTTTTTTTTAAAAGTATTTTTATATATTAAATAAAGTTAGTCTCTCTCTCTCTCTCTCTCTCTCTCTCTCTCTCTCTCTCTCTCTCATGTACACACACGCACGACCAACTTCCCCTTCCCCCAACTTTTTCATTTACAGTCAAGAACACCCCACCGGAGGTAGAGCTGTTTTCCGACCACCAAGAAACACCACTACCACCATCCATCTTTCCACCTCTTTGAATCACATTCTTAACCCCAAATTGAAACTCGGAAGAATTGTGGGTCGTAGGTGGCGGACTGCAGCAACGGTGGCGGACTACAATGACGATGGAAGGGCAGTGACGTCGATAGGTGGTTATGGTTGGTGGCTGTGGGCGGCCTTTGTAACGCCCCCATCCTCAAGTATTGCTTAAATAAGAATTATTGGGGTTAAGCTTTACTCGACGAGTTGGTTGACCTACTCGTTGAGTAACAACTGGATGAGACCGCGAGTTAAGCCACCTACTCGAAGAGTCCATATTGGGACTTGACGAGTAGGAGCTGGCAGATGAAACCCTAAATCCCGGGGTTTGCACCTCTATTTAAAGGAGCCTTAGCCTCCTTTGGCATCTTTGCAGTTTTTGAGAGCCCTTAAAACCCTTAATACGTGTGTGAGTGCCTTTGTGTGGTGTTTGAAGCTTGGAAAAGAGAATCTTGGAGGAAGAAAGCTAAGAGTGCAAAGGAAATTGAAGCAAGGAAGGACTGGGAAGTAGGATTTACCTCAGCTAGCATCCTTTGGAGGTATCAAAGTACTATCCTTACTTCCCTTTTTTCCTTTTTGTTGAGTTTCTAGGGCTTTTTATGGATTTTCAAGTTGGTATGATGAGCTATGGGCTAGATCTGAAGTTGTAACTTCAGATCTGGACCCTCCTTGGATTCTAGAAGCATAAAGTCACAGTCTTGGTTGTGATTAAGGTCCTTCTTGAGCATGGAGTTCCATTAAGAGCTTAAAATAGACATTTAGAGCCTTTATAGCCATGCATGCACGTAAAGTTTGCAACTTTATGTGATAAGCATGCCCTAGAAGCTTTGATCTATGAGTTGGATCCGTTACATGGCTCAAAAATAAGTCTGTATGAAAAAAGGACTGAATGGACTCGACGAGTCACATGAAGATGGCCGTGAACTCGACGAGTTGATGAACAACTCGACGAGTCCGATGAAGATCGTCGTAAGACTCGACGAGTTGAAGAACAACTCGGCGAGTCGGATGAGTTTTCTCTTGGATATGTATGAGTGTGTATCCGTCGAGTTGCAAGGAGGGAACTCGACGGGTGACCTTAAAGTTTGATTGAGAATCAAAAAAACTCGACGAGTCACTCTGATTACTCGGCGAGCTGGAATGTACTTCAGGGAACTCAGCAAGTAGCCAAGGGTACTCGGTGAGTTAAGGTCACCATGGACTGTTGACCTTGACTGAGGACTTTGACTTTGACCAGGGGTTGACTAGTGGGTTATAGAGTACCTTATAAGGTTAAGGACTTATGAGTATGATGTACTATGATAATAGGTGGTGGAGCCTGTGTCAAGTGATCCGAGAGTTGGAGTTTACATTTCGTGTCGACATCTGCGAGGTGAGTTATCCTCACTATATCGATAGGGTCTACGACACCAAGACCGGCCCTTTAGTTGTTATTGTTATGGTATGATACATGTGGTTATGATCTATTAGATCGGAAATCAGGGTAGATAGTATGTTATGCTCTTATGATCCGTAGGGATTGGTGTGTTAGTGACCTGCTAGGTTGGTACTCTAGTTACAGGAGAATTCTATGATTCATGATCAGTGTGACAGATAGGTTTGATGTTTGTATATGCTTGTATATGATAGTATGCACACATGGTTATTTGCTTGTGGTTGGGTTGAGGCGGTCCTGCTTTGTGCTGTAGGCCAATATACCCTATGAGCGGTCCGGGGAGACTGTAGGCCCACGTGGCGAACCAGTCATGCTGAAGGCTCGGGATAGATTCAGACAGACTGTAGGCCTGGTAGGGCGGTCCAGTTAGGTCGATGGCCCAGTATGCATGTTGATTGATTGATTATTACTGATATGGTATTGTCAGTGTGGTATTGGTATTTTGGGGGTAGCTCACTAAGCCCTCGGGCTTACAGATTTTAGTTTATTGTTCTAGGTACTTCAGGAGATCATGGAAAGGCGAAGGCGTGACCGTACCGCTCCTCATCCTTATGTTATGATTTTTGGGACACTCTGATGGAAAATGATTTGAAAACATTTTGTAAACAATTCTATTTGGTTTTTATTTATGGATGTTACAGCCTTGCTGCTTCATTTCTATTGGCGGATGCTCGATGAGGGACCAAGACGAAGCAGCATCGATGATGGTGTTTGGTGGTGGTGGGTTACGAAAAGATGGAGGCGTTTGGTGGGGGTGGGTGGTGAGGTGGGTTTTGCTAACAACCACAGCGGTGCTGGGTGGTGAAGTGGGTTTTGCTAACGGTGGGTGGTGACGGAGATATGGTGGCAGCTTCACTGCCTTCGTTTCCTTTCTTTTCAGGTGAGCTCGACGAGAGAGAGAGAGAGAGGGCAGGGAGGAGCATGGCTATGGTCCGAAGGTATTTGGGAAGGGTGTTTGATGGTGGTGGGTTACGACATGGGGAGGTGGAGGAGGTGTTTGAAAATTTAGGTGGGTTAAGATGGTGATGACAGTGTGCTCCAATCAGTAGCAAGAGTGGGAAGAACGCGGTGGTGTAGGGTGGTTCCTCGCAGCATGCTCAACAGAAACAGTAAAGGAATGGTGGTGAGGCTAAACCAAGATAGATGAGGGTGGTTTCCGGTGGGGTTGTGGTGGTATATGGTGGCAGTCGTGGTGGTGAGTAGCCTAGTCCGGTGTTAAAATCACCGGTTGTAACACTCCGTTTATAATGGAGTATTAAAATAATTAATCAGGAACCCCAAGATGTAAATTTATATTTTATATTATTTTTAAATAGCCCTAAAATCCATAATATTTAGTGGGGTTTTGGTCTCGGGAAGTCAAACGATATGTAACACATGTGTTTCTGGGTTTGTCATTAATATTGATGTAATAGTCTAGGTTAACCTTTATAACCTATTTCAAAATTATAAGAAGTGTATTATTTGAGTATTATGTGTTTTGTGCTTAATTGTGTGTCTTAATTAAATTAAGAATGAAAATAAGCGTCAAAATAAAATATTATATAAACCCGATATCGATGCACGAAGATGTAGTGTTTGAGACGAGATTTCCGAAAATATATAAAGGATGCTGAAATCCGAGTTATAACGAAGAAGTTATGACCTGTCGAAGTTTCGCGACAAAACCAGTGTGACACAGCGTGACGTAAATAGAGAATTTACGAATGAGTGATATTTAGCCTTAGTGATCAACACGAAAGACGTAGATAATGTTGAACCGAGAGCGTGCATAAAAAGAACGCCGAAATATGACTTCGTATGAGGAAATTATGATTTTTTGAAGTTTCAGCTTAGCAGTAGACAGCCCAAAAGTTTGAATTGAGATCGAGCGAGTTTTAGCCGATACTTTCTAAACGAGAATTGAAGATCTCGTCGATGGTAGTGCAACGACAGAAAGAGGGACGAAAACGGACATCAGACGAAGAAGTTATGAATTTCTAACGAAGTTTTTCTGTCCTGGCCTACTAAAAATAAATAATAAAAATAAATTCAAAATTAGCCGACGGAGTCTAAATGAAAGTTGTAGAGTATGTTCTGAACTATGCGTGGATATAAAGAATGTCGAAATCGGAACTCGTATGCGATAATTACGCAATTTAGAAGTTTGACGAGTCAAATTATGCCGAACGTAATTTGAGTACGCCCAGCGTACTCGGATGAGTACAAGTTGCCTGATGTGACATCCCCATTTTCACGGCCAGAAAAGACCGATTGTGTTTATGCTTTATAAAAATCAGAGTACCTCTTTTAATAAAAATATTGCAGAATTTGTTCCTAGTAAAACATGATAAATACGTTATCAAAGCATTTCTGAAGAAAAATATTTTTAATTTGTTTTATAACATTTGGGATGTCATCGTCAATACAGAAACATAAGAATAAACAGAACTTACATTTATTTACACTAGTGATCTACATCTCTTTAATCTCTCAGTGTAATGTGACTTCATCTCAACACCTGTAATATAAATAAACTGAGTGGGTCAGGTTGGGAAACCTAGTGAGTACATAGGGTTTTCAACCCACAATAATATAATTATTATGTTTAAACAATCAAACATTCGACCCAATTACCCATCCGCATTATCTTCTTTACTCTTTTGGATCTATCCTAATAGTCATCTATCCCGCATTCGTTCATTCTGAAGTCCTTTGCTTCCAGAGTTATAGGACTGACACTAAATCCATAGCTGCCAATGCTCATTCGTAAAGCACTAATTCCATAGCTGCTGGGTACTAAATCTATAGCTACCAGTGTTTATCTAATAGGTACTAAGTCCATAGCTACCAATTCCTAACACGTACTAAGTCCATAGCTACCAGTGTTTGTCCAATAGGCACTAAGTCCATAGTTGTCGATGTTATTTGTTAGGCACTAAGTCTATAGCTGCCAATGTTTACTCACATCATCTTTTATCTCTCATCATTCATCTACCCATCTCATACCCAACATACTTGTATATTTAAAATACATATACGGTTCAAATCATTTAAAACATGTATAAAAAAACGTTTATCCACCATAGATAGCAAGTATACAGATAATATGCACACATAGCACGTAGTTTATATAATATACTTCATATCTATGTGTAAGATGAAAGAGACCATGCACTCACCTGAGAAGGTGGTGACTCGGTACTCGGACACCGCTTCATTTACTTTAAATAATTTCCTTCGACGAAACCTAGTATTATTACCACTAGATTTTAGTCTAATATTTACCGTGACTAATTATTAGTCTTATTATTATTATTATTATTATTATTATTATTATTATTATTATTATTATTATTATTATTATTATTATTATTATTATTATTATTATTATTATTATTACGTTTAAGCAATACTTTCCAACCATTATGTACAGATAGGGGCCAGACATAAAACACCGGAGGGCAGGACCATTTTGGCGTATAGCACTTCTGAAATCCAACAACCCTATGCGGCCCTTTAAACCAGATTCCCCGTACCGCGAGTAGTTAAAAAGATATTATAACGACACTTATATAAGTCATAATAATAGCTCAAATATTTATTATAAATTCATAATAACAATACAAATTTTAAATATAAACTATATTTAAAATAGGGTAAACATAACTTACTTACAAGGGGATTTTAGCTAGGAGTCGAGCTTTGCAGGGGCAGAACATCGTCGCTGAATCTTTCTAAGAAAGATTCGTGCAGCGCTTCAATACTCACCTTACTATACTAAAAACTACAGAAAGTGAAGTCGAATCACGAGGGGCCGAAATACACGGGGGATAAGGAGAGAAAGATTCTTGAATCAAGAGAATGGTGCAAGAAATATGAGAGCTAGAGGCTCTTATTTATACTAATTGAATTTTCAAAAACTACCCTCCATAATTACTTAATAACCTTATAGTTATATAAACAACTAAACACCCCTTTATACTACTATTTTAAATAGATTTAACGATATTTGTACTAAACTAATGTTGAAAGAACTCAACATTAGTCTTATAATGACCGCGTCGTAGATACCTTTCTAATGATATATACATATGTATATTTATGTGTACGTATATATGATTTATACTATATTTTAATACGTAAATATGTTATTATAATTTGTAACTCGTTCATACGAACTCCGTTTTTGACGTTATTTATATCCACACGTAGGTGGAGACGTACTCTACAACTTTCATTTAGACTCCGTCGGCTAATTTTGACTTTATTTTTAAAGTTATATTTTTAACAGGTCGGGACATGATTGGTCCGTTAAAATCTCATAACTTCTTCATCCGATATCCATTTTCGGCTGTCTTTTTATCGTTACGCTACTAATAATGAGATATTCGATTCTCGTTTAGGTTGTGTCGGCTAAAAACCGCTCGATCTAATACTCGAACTTCGGGCTATACACCGCTAAGCCGAAATTTATACGAAGTCAGATTTAAGTGTTCTTTTTATGGAAGCTCTCAGGTTAACATATTCTATGACTTTCATTTGTATTACTAAGGCCAAAATTCGCTCTATGATAAATTCACTATTTATGTCTTCCCGGTGTCGTGCCGGTTCCGTCGCGAAACTTCGATGGGTCATAACTTCTTTGTTATAACTCGGATTTCGGCGCTCTTTATATGTACGGAACCCTTGAGACATATTCTAAAACTTGGTTAAGATTATTTATTCTAGATATTCTTTTGTCGAAAATTCGTTTTTGACCCCTATTATCTTTAAATTGACTAGCCCGGATCTACGGGCGTTACACCTGACCAATACTCGAGTGCCACAAAGTGACGCATGCAGTGACGTTGAGTATGCCTAGCATACGGCTTGGTATGCCCAGCGTACTGAGTACCCCCAACGTACTTGGAGTTACGCCCAGCGTAATCCTAGACCCAACACCCTATAAATAGAAACCAAGATCATCTATTTTCCTTGCCAATTTTCTTTCTTTCTCTATAGTTTTCACCTTGGTTTGTGTGCCAATTATATCCCGAAGCCCCAGTATCATTCCCGAGTCCCGAAGCAGGTTCCAAAGTCCCGAAGATCCCGAGAAGTAAGATTCCTGAATCGAAGCCCTACTCACAAGGAGCCCGATTTTTGTGAAGATCTTCCAGATCTACTGAAGAATACTACTTCTACAAACCATAGTGTTATCTGATCATCTTCTAATCAAGTGAGTGTGTAGTTACTTTCTTCTAACGCATAACTATGAAGTATTTTATATAAAATACGTGTTATGTGTATATTTTGTTGTTATATGTGTGAACGTATATTCACTTTCTTCTATCTCATAGATATGATTACTATGAAATACGTGTTATGTGTATGTGTCTCATTTGTTGTTTGGAATATGTATTGAATGAGAATGTTATACAGATTTTAAACTATGTATAAAAATATATATTTTTATTATACTAATATGTTGGGTAGAACATGGTTAGGCAGTTGATGTGTGATAAACAGATGAGAGGCCTCGATGTTGTTGTTGTTGATCTAGTGACTCAATAGAGTATGGATAACAACCATGGACTCTTTCTAGACAATCATGTGGAACGCTAGCAGGCTCATAACCTGTAGGCGTTGTGAACGATGTGTTCACCGATGTACTATATCCCCCTCATGGTTGCCTTTAGGACATTTATTGTTGAGGAAACCCCTTGCAGTAATGTCGGTTCCGATGAAAATCCTAAATTAGGTTCTTTATAATAGATGTTGTTTTAGGGACGTAAAGTGAGGATAACGGGAATGGGTAATCGGGTTATTGTTGATTGTTGAAATTAAATATAATTATATATTGCGGGTTGAAAAC